AATAAATATATAATTTATTGTATGGTTTGCAAATCTGACTGAGCCATGTCGAATTTCTAGTTAATTAGCTTAGCGAATTCGGTTTGAGGCGCTTCAAAAACACTTTTCTTAACTCATTCTCTTCTCAAATTCATTTCAAGCAGGGGCAAAATAACAACAATATCTTAACAGAAAATCTTAATCGGAATGGTAAATATAGAAAATATTAAAATGGATATTGAGACACTTTTGTTAATTTTAATTTTATTTGTTTCTCCTCTGCAGCATCTGGTACTCCACCTTACAGTATGGACTTCGATGGTAATGGCTATCAATTTACCCGACAAGGAGGCTTTGTACCAAACGGCTATTTTGGCTACCACAGAGGTCATTGTTAAGCAGATGGAGTTGTACAATTATGGAAAAGCTCTCAGCTCTCAAGTAATTACGGATATTACCAAAAATGTGACAAAGTCGATTTTTTCAGGCAAGACGATTAAGGAAATGCTATGGCAAATGGTGAAATGGTGTGAGGATAACAGTTCAACCGACATATTTCAGATTAATTATTGCAAAAATCAGAGTAATCGAGGTGATATCACAGCTAATAATAATTATGGTGACTTACAATATTCTGATGAGGCCTATGGCGACGATGCCTACAACGCTGTTACGGATGAACAAACCGATAAGCCAGACGAAAACGGCCCAGACCCAGATTACTTAGAGTATGCAAGGTTTCTGGCACCCGCAAATATTACTACAACGAAACAACCAACTTTTGTTTCCAATACTGGAATTCAGAAACCGATTACAATTACTGAAGATAATACTAAATACGATGGACTTCACAGTTATATTTGTTTAATTGAAAACGCACACCTGAAATGTTATGCCTACAGATATGACCCAGGTAGAGATATATCTGTTATTGAGCCGAAGCCATTGAGACGTTTAGTACCTTATCGTCCTCATAAGAATAAGACTTCCACTACGCCAAAAAAAAGACGAAAATAAAGTTAAAAAAAAAAAAAAAAAAAAAAAAAAACGGCGGCATTTAGAATTATCTATGAATTGAATACATTTAATAAAGAATCTCAATCTATCTCTATCTCTATCTCTATCTCTATCTCTATCTCTATCTTTATCTCTATCTCTATCTCTATCTCTATCTCTATCTCTATCTCTACGTTATGTTTCATTAAAGTCTTCGATCTCTCGGGAAGTGTTCGCTATACTACTTAATTGCCGCGTTGCTCCGCCAATATATCGCGCTGCTCCATGCTCCATTAAGTGTCCATTTTATAGCACAACATTTATCAAATGCTCAGCCAATGCGGCCAGAAACTTCTCCTCACCAAAGTTGGGCGAATCGAAAAAAAGCGGGAATACAAAAAGAAAGAAAATAAAAAATAAATGAAGCGCCGAACAGATGCCACGTAGGCCGTAGGATGGCAGCAACAGCCAACAGCGACGTTTGTCATAATAAAAGTTACTTAAAAATTGCAGCGTGAATATCTGGGCGCACATAAATCAATAAATGTGCCGCGCATAACGTGGCGTATGCGTGATTTATGCTTGCCGAGTGTTGAAAAATTATGCAAAAAGGAATCGTATGTTTTACGCTCAGAGTTGACTAATTACGTATACGCCGTGTGCTGTACACACAGCTTACGAAATTTCAATTAGCCGCATTCATTTGACTTTGCTTGGCAACTGTACAAGTTAAGACTCTCCACTCGATAAACAGCGAGAGAGAGAGAGAGAGTGAATGATAGAGAGAGTTGGAGAGAGGGAACAAGATAGTGTGTATAACCAGGTAGCCAACAATATTTCGTGTGCACGTGCAAATTTATTGCTACGCTACGCCTGCGGGCTATCAAATATGAAAGAGAACAAGTTCAGAGTGAACCAACAGAGCATAAAAACTAAATACCCTAGACGTTTAGCAATGGGAATATTATTCCCATATATTTAGTGAAAATCACAAAGTGAATATACAAATTATCATGAAGCAGATTAGCTACATTAGAAACGTTTATATATAATTCAAACATCAATATGAATATAAGCCTCTTCTCTTCTTCATATACCCTACCCATGTTAGGGTATTGCAAAGAGCCTTAGGTTGCGGTGCTCGCTTTCATATTTAATTGCGTCGTTCTTGTCGTCGCAATGTTTATGAAATATTTTTGTGTCAGCTGCAGCAGCCATGCCTTGTCAGACTACGAGCTCAGCCACAGCCCAAAGCTGCAAGCCTCGCGTCCTCCGCTACCCACGCCCCCTTCTAGCCATATGTGTCAGCGATTTTAATAAATGGCAGAAATCTCTCGAGCCTTCAAGCGGCTGCACTTCTCCAGTGGGAACTGCAAGTCGATAAGCCGCAGTTGCTATCCGCCATTCGCCATTTGCCTTTGTTCATTTCATTGAAATGATGCAACAATTTCAGCTAGTTTTTAATTTGCTGATTGCCTGCGATGTGATGGAAATGGAATGGAATAGCCGATGTGGTGGAAATTTTCACGCCATTTTTGGGGCGTGTAATTGACTTTTGCTATGGTCATGTAAGTGGGCAAGCCAAATGTGAATAAATGTAAATGGAAATCCAGGAAAACAGCAATCAATACGAAAGTAAAGCACAACGCAAATAGATTGAATTTTTTGCTCGAGGAGGAAGTGGCAAAAGTGAGAGCAGCAACTGCGAAGCAAAATCTAAGAAATTGTTGAAAGAAATCCATAAAGAAGTTATAGAATAAACGAAGAAATTGTGAGAGAGTATTTACTAAATGAAGCAAGAAGAGAAATAATAAGAGAGAAGCAATGAAAATGAAACTTGATTCATTTTTTGCTTCTTCGTAATAATTTTATTTCTTTTTGCTTATCTTAGTATTTTCAGATGTTTTTATAAATGCTTTTTACTTATTTAAATTGTTCTCAATTTTTCCTTTTAGTTTTGCCTACATTTCTAAGTTAAGTCTTTAAGCTAGAAATCGTTTCATCTGTGCTCCATTAAGAGCTCTTAATATTTCCGTTTAATTGTCTTTATTATCATCAGAGCTATCCCACAAACGCTTCTCGGTTCGCTTCCTTTCAGACAGCTTTTGACTGATCATCGCATGAAAAAACACATGTTGCGGTTAGCACTTTATGGTTTAGCTTTCTCGCTTTACGTCTCGCATCGCTTCTTGCTTTGCTTCTCGCTTCAATACGTGCCACTACTTTGCAATGCTCTGCAAAACATGGTTACTTTACAGTACTTAAATTCGATTGAAATAAAAGCATTTGCTTGTATGTGTGTGTGTGTGCGCTCGCATCAGTAGTTTGTTAATTGTTATGGCATCGAATTAGGTACATCGGGAGTCACAGAAATTCTTGAAAATCTCCAGACATCATTGTGGGAATACTTAGATGCAAAACACTCTTGTTCTCTGTTTGACTATCTAAAGGCGCTCTTAAAAGCAAATTTGCCAAACATATGTAAAAGTATGCGAGTTCCTAAGCTGCTGTCGAAATTTGTGGCCAACATTCCAAATGTACAACACACACACACACACACACACTCACGCGCACTTGTTTAAAATCTCATTATGTAAAGTACAAAGCGAGGGGAGCGTGTAAAGCGAGAGGTGGGTTGGGGGTGGACCAGAAGAGATGAGAGCAACGAAAACAAAGAGCCGAATCGAAATGATTACCACTTTTACTTCGCTTGCAGCACAAATTGAATTGATTTTAATCTGCATGCACATGAAGTCGGAGCTCCTGCAGGAAACGATTCCCCAGCCAAGAGAGACAGGATCTCCTCTGCCTATCGCTCTGCCAGCCTCTTCTCGTGCCAATAAAATTTGCATTCAAAATCGCTTTAAAAAAAAAGTAAAAAAAAAAAAAACAGAAAAAGTTGGCACAGGCGCATCAGCTAAACTCAACGTAGTATCTATTTCATATATGTTTATGTGTATTGGTGTTTGTGTGTATATGTGTGTTTGTGCGTGCCTGTCTTTAAGAGCGAATTTAATTCCGGCCAATAAAAAAAGTTAAAAGAAACCGGCAACAACAACTTTTATGCGTGTGCAGAAATTGATAAGAGCACGCCAGAGGGCAGAAGCAGATTCTGCCTAACGGTCGCAGCACCCAGCACCAGAAGGGGCGTGCTCTGGAGGGTGGGCGCTGTTACTGGCTGCTGGCTGCTACGCTTGAGCGCAAATAAACTTAAAAGACATATGAAAATCAGTTTTTGAATATTGGCACAAGCCAAACAAAGTTCGCTGCCAGCTTTTTATGCTGTCTGTGCGCTGTGTGTATCCTGCAGCAGAGGCAACGGCAACGCTTCACTTGAACGCGGTCCAGAGAGCAGTCGGGGCAGGTGGTTGCCAGATGATTACAGCGTATGTGGGTGTTTGTTTGCTCAACTGTGGCTCTAGCCAAGAAAACAGTAGGAGTGTAATTTAGATTTCTGCTTCATTACGTTTTGCAGCTCAACTATTCGTATACAGTATATTTTTAGCATTTGTATAGAATATAATACCCTGTAATGGGTGTTGAAGTAATAAACGAAGATGTTATGGAAGGTAGTTGAGTTTTGTGTACTTAATAGACTATACCAGACATAATATTCTAAGACCTATAGAACAGAGATGTAAGAGGTAAGACAGACTTTAATTCATTCAGCTTATTTTCAGAATTCAGCCATAAAATAGCCTTAGAGCTGATAATTTATCATTATAGAGCACTCTGACCTAGTCAACTCATTCACTCACTGACGTCCAACAGCTGGATATCAATTTAAACAACAAATTTTAAATTAAATTGATTTCGATTTCTCAACCTATACGATGGCATATGAGAAATCTATTGAAGATCCCCACATGACCGTTGGGGGCTAAATGGCTTTGTCTCTGCCAGCGATATCCGCAGATTTTCGCGCATTATTCATTCTGCCAAAATGCCACTTAAAACGCAATTACCGCAGACATACGTACAGAGAGTGGAAATGCTATTGCAAACAGCCCACGCATCATTGATGAAAACATTTTCAAAATCATTTCGAAAGCAACAGAAAAGTATGCATTCCGTAAATACATATATGTATATAAATATATTTATTTGCGGAAAATAATTTTTAAATTATGAAGTAACCAAATACAATGAGTTAATTTTATGTGAAGAGATTTCTTTAAATCTGATTAAATTAAAATAATAAATAATA